CGTGTGTGTGTGTGTGTGTGTGTGTGTGTCAGTAAGTATTTGGCTTAGAACGTGTGTGTGTGTGTGTGTGTGTGTGTACCAGTAAGTATTTGGCTTAGAACGTGTGTGTGTGTGTGCGTGTGTGTTTGCCAATCCTGGGGCTTGAACTCAGGGCCTGGGCACTGTCTCTGCTCAAGGCTAGTATTTTACCACTTGAGCCACAACGCCACTTCCAGCTTTTTCTGTTTATGTGGTACTAAGGGATGGAACCCAGGTCTTCAGGTATGGTAGGCAAGCACTCTACCACTGAGCCACATTCCCAGCCCTAGAATTAAATTTTGCAAGAAATTCCTTCTTTCCTTCCTTCCTTCCTTCCTTCCTAAATTATATTTACTTATTTAGCGCTAGTACTGGGCACAAAATAAAGGAAGGAGCTGAGCACAAAACAAACAAACAAATAACAAATCAGTATTCTGTAGCACTATTCTGTAGTTGTTTTACTCAAAGGCTGGCACTCTACTTGAGCTATACCTCCTCTTCTGGCTTTTTGTTTTGTGCCCATCCTTGGGCTTGAACTCAGATCCAGGTCTTGGGTGCTGTCCCTGAGCTTTTTTGCTCAGGGTTAACACTCTACCACTTGAGCCACATTCCACTTTGGCTTTAGGTTTTGGTGGTTAATTGGAGATAAGGATTTCATGAAATTTCTTGCTTGGGGTTTGAACCTCAGTCCTCAGATCTCAGCCTCCTGAGTAGCTAAGATTACTGGGGTGAGCCATTCATACCTTGAAATGCTTATTTTTATAGTTTAGATAGAAAATGTATTTTAAATAAGTTTAGCTGATACATAATTACTGTGTGATTCCTCAAACAAAATTAAATCATGGGTGATAGCCTAGTAGTCTATATCAGTGATTGTCATGTAATTGTAATTTAGATATTCTTCTTGGCTTTAATAGTATTTTTCTTCTAAAACCTTTGTTAAAACAGGAGTACTCTCAACATTGCGTGCCGTTCCCCAAAAAGAAGGATACCTTGGATTGTATAAAGGAAATGGTGCAATGATGATTCGGATTTTTCCCTACGGTGCAATCCAGTTTATGGCATTTGAGCAGTATAAAACGGTAGTTGAATTATCCTCTTTTCTCTTTAGTGTCCTTGAATATTATGCTTGCTAACAGGTATTTGTTTTTTTGTTTTTTTTTTTAACTTTTTCTTTTCTTGAGTCGGTACCTTGCTAGGTAGCTTAAACTCAGAAATCTTTCTCCTTAAACCCTTGAGCACTGGGATTACAGTTGTGTACCATCATGCTCATTCTTTTTCCTTCTTTTAAATTTTTTTCAGTCAGTGCTGGGGATTGAATCCAGGACCTCAAGCATGCTAGATAAAGGTTCTATCACTTAGATGCCAAGCCTGATCCCATGATCCTCACCCTGGATTTCCTTTCTTTCTTCCTTTCTTCCTTTTTTAATTTTTTTTTTTTTTGGTGCCATTCTAAGGGCTTGAACTCAGGGACTGGGATCTGTCCCAGAGTCCTTTATATTCAAGGTTAGCATTCTACCTCTTTGAGCCATAGTGCCACTTCTGGTTTTCTGGTGGTTAGTTGGGCTGGCTTTGAACCTCAATCCTTAGATCTCAGACTCCTGAGTAACTAGGATTACAGGCGTGAGTTAGTTAATAGATGCTAAAGTTAAGCATAAATGTTAAAAACATCCATCTACTCCTTTAGTTTTCAATTATGAAATGTAGTGGAAATAGAACATGCATGAGGTCCTGGGTTCGATTCCTCAGCACCATATAAGCAGAAAAAGCCGGAAGTGGCGCTGTGGCTCAGTGGTAGAGCGCTAGCCTTGAGCTGAAGAGCTGAGGGACAGTGCCCAGGCCCAGAGTTCAGGCCCCAGGACCAAAAAAAAGCATGAAGAACACAGCTATGGAGACTGTATCTCCTGATCTCCTGATGGGATACACTGCCCAACTTTTTATAATTGTGCTTTTTCTACTCTTGTTACTGATTCTATAATTTTGTTGTTGTTGTTGTTAGTTCTGAGGCTTCAGGGCTTCGGCACTCTCCCTTAGCGCTCTTGCTCAAGGCTAGCACTTTACCAGTTGAACCACAGTGCCACTTCTTGTGTTTTTTTGTTTTTGTTTTTGTTTTTTTTGCTGGCTGTGGGCCTTGAACTCTGGGCCTGGGCGCTGTCCTTCAGTAATTCAGCTCAAGGCCAGCCACCACTTGAGCCACAGAGCCACTTCCGGTTTTCTGGTAGTTAATTGGAGATAAGAGTCTCACGGACTTTCCTGCTTGGGCTGGCTTTGAACCATGATCCTCAGAGCTCAGCCTCCTGAGTAGCTAGAGCAGGTGTGAGTCACCAGCACCTGGCTTTTTGTTTTATTAAGTAGTTGTACAGAGGGGTTACAATTCCATGAGTCCGGTAATGAGTACAGTTCTTGGACAATGTCATCCCTTCCTTTGCTTTCCCCCTGTTTCTTCCTCCTATTCCTGCCCACAGTTGCATAGTTAATTTTCTATGTATTTAACTGATTCTGTTATTGTTATTATTTTATTATTGTGCCAGACCTGGGGCTTGAACTCAGGGCCCGGGTGCTGTCCTTGAGCTTTTCTTGCTCAAGGCTAGTGCCCTGCTGTGTGAGCCCCAGCTCCATTTCCAGCTTTTTGGTAGTTAATTCGTGGTAACTGTTTCACAGACTCTGCAGCCCAGGCTGGCTTTGACCCACGATCCTCCAATCTCAGCTTCTTGAGTGGCTAGGATTATAGGCATGAGCCATCAGCATTTGGCTTAAATTCTGTAATTAAAAAAAGAGTCACTATTTGACAATGAAATGGGCAGCAGGTAAAACCACATGTTGTTCTGGCATATTCTGGCTTACCTAGTATTCACAAAGCTCTGAGTTTGATCTCCGGCACTGCAACAAACAAAAATAACCCAAACCATTGTGCCATTTAACAACGTATTTTTGGTTTCTAGTTAATTACCACCAAGTTGGGAGTTTCTGGTCATGTTCACAGATTAATGGCTGGATCCATGGCAGGTAAGAGTAGTATGTATATTTTATTTTATTTTTTTGTTGGTCATGGGGCTTGAACTCTGGGCTTGGGCACTGTCCCTCAGCTCTTCAGCTCAAGGTGAGCACTCTACCACTTGAGCTACAGTGCTACTTCTGGTTTTCTAGTGGTTTATTGGAGATAGGAGTCTCACGGTCTTTCGTGTCCGGGCTGGCTTTGAACCTCAATCCTCAGATCTCAGCCTCCTGAGTAGCTAGGATTATAGGCGTAAGCCACTGGCGCCTGGCTTGTATATTTTATATTTGAGAACTTCTTTTTCTTTTTTTTTTTTTGGGTCTGGTCATGGGGCCTGAACTCTGGGCCTGGGTGCTGTCCCTC